ATACACTGTTCCTCCATGTTGTAAACCACAGTCCTGATTTTAAAGCAGGCAGTATCTGTTTCCCAGACTGCTTTTATTTGTGTTTACAGAAGAGTCAGTTTGTGGTTCAGCCCCTGGGTGGCAGTATTTCTGGATTGATCTCCGAGGTTATATGTTCTCTCTAGCCAGTAGTTAGGTTTTGTTTTCCCGATCGCACTTAATACTGGTTTGGGAGAGTCGACTGCCCCAGAGCTGGTTCTTTGGTTGTTACTCCCCGCTCTGATTCCCAAGTTCCACAAAAACAACTTTCCCCTGCAGTCTCTGTGATTGACCTTAATTGGGCGATCCTATGTATTGGGTCTTAATCAAACGCAAAGATTTAAGGGGGAGAAAAAAAAAAGAGCCTGAGAAGTTGCGTGTATTCGCACCCCTCCACAGTCCAGCTGTGTGCGCAGTCTCTTCCGTACGTCCTCTCTCCCCTGGCACTAAGCAGCCGGCACACTGGCAAAGTCCGAGGCTGCCTTTTTGCACCCAGTCCAGCTATGGGCTTATTTTTAGAGTTCCCTTCTGCCAGCAGCCCTTCGGGACCCCTTCCACACTCGCGGATCACGCTGGCCCCAACGGCCGCGGACTTTGTGGGGTGACGACTTCCCCCATGTGCGTTCCTCTCTCCAGATCTGCATTGCAAACCGCACCTTTATCTAGGCGAAATCTGACCTTTCCGTGAGGAGGAGCAGGGCTTGTCTGAGTCCACGTACTCGCGCTGCTTGAGATCCGGTGTTCCTGGGTTAGTAGCTGATCCCTGGATGCCGTGTTTGCAGGGTCTCTGGATGTATACGCTTCCGAAATCAGCCACTCAAGATGGTGCGGACCTCGCGGCTGAGCCAGCCGTTCTGGGAGAGTTTTCAGCCGCAGTCTCCAACAGTCCCCTTTCTCCTGGAGTCCTCTGCCTTTCCCGGCTGCAAACTGTCTCCCAGCTGACTCTCCTCTGCCAATTCGGGCTATGTTACCCGTTTCAGCTGCTCACCTTATCTGCTCCGGGACAGGGCACGGGACACGTCCGTCTATACCGCTGCCATTTTGTCTCTCCTCAGAAGATTTCTTTTGTGAGTTCAGCTGAGACAGCTGACCTTGGCCTTTTTAAACTAGAATTTTTCATTCAGGGCCAGAACTATATGAGTAGAACTACTCTAGTCCCTATAAAAGGCATAAATTTGCAGCATTTTTGCATGAAAAACATTAAGTTACAAAAATTAAGCCACATCTGCTGAACATTTCCCTGACAGGTGATTTAGTTGAGTAGATCCAGTGCCTGGCTGTGTAGATTAACCTACCCAAAGATGAACTTGGCTAGCTAGCCACAGGCTACTACAAGTAAAGCATACAACCTTCCACATGAGATACTTAATGCTCACCAGAGACAGGCAAGATATCCAGGCCATGTTCCACTTGATGAGACTCATGTCTTTTCAGATCTGCACTTCAGCAGATCCTATGTTACCTATGGGAATGTAATCCCTATCATTTAGACTGAATTCACACTGCAGAAAGTTAAGTGGGGATTTGGGGAATGATCTGGTAAATTTGATCAGTGTGAAGAAACTACAGTCTTCATTTCATCCACTACTTCTTTATCCAACCAAAACCTGTTTTTTTGGGTGTGATTTTCATTTAGTTAATATAACCAGACCACTACCTCAATTTATATAGAGAACAACAAACTTGCCATCATTGTCAGGTTATATATGTAGAAACTACCCGAATGAAAATGCAAATAAGTCTTGAAATAGTTTCTTAGGTCATTTAGCTTTCAATGGAATGGTATACACAAAATGAAATATAACCAGTTTCCTCTTTGATGAGTCATAATTTAAGATACATAGGGCTTTTATGTTGCTAAAAATAGTGTCATTTAGCCCTTTCTCTCCCTTAAATATCAATGGCATTGCAAACACTTGCTTACACTCTTTTGAAATGACCTACATGGTGTTTTTTAAAATGGGAAGATATGTTTAGGACAGTGTTTGACTTGAGAAACAAAGAAAAGTAGACTGCTCACTCAGTTCAGTTGGAAATGGATGGGGTCTTTTGATAAGACATCAGTCTTTTAGACAACCAAATGGTTTCTACCTTTCTTGAAGAAACAAAACAAAACCGTGGGGATAGCCTCCTTCTTTATATCCCCTCCCAGTCTTGTAGCTATGCTTAATGTTGTGTCTGAGTATATTCTGATTCCAACAGGTTAGTCCAGTGGTATGTATTGAACTTCCTTGTATGTAGGATATATTCTTGCTACTGAGGTTACTATTATAAAGTAAACAAGAAACCCTCAAGTTTTTCACCATTTAGTTGGGGAAATACACATATCACTGTGATCATGATAATTCAGAAAAATTAGGGAATGTGGGATGATGGAAAAAGTCAGGTACTGTGTAATTATGCTCAAGTCAACAGCAATGGCAATCTACATCTATATAGCACATCATAGTTTACAAACATACTTATTGCTGAGCTTTATTTTGTAATTTTTACAGCCTTGTGCAGCAAATTTAGTTATTTAAGGTTCATATATAAAGTTCAGAGAGATTAAGAGATTTTCCCCAAGGTCACAAAGTTAGTAGGTGCTGGAGCCAAGACTCCATTCCACGTGTTCCATTACGTTGATTGATATGAACATTGTTGACCAATTTTGAACTATGAAATAGGCAATTTTGTGTGTTCAACCTTAAGTTCAGGGTTCTTTCTACATTAGAACACCTATCTCACTTTAGGTCTTCTATCCATAATGAGATCGGTTTGAACTTATTGATAGAGTGGGGCCTTTTTTTATCTGTTTTAAACCCACCATTAAAGAGGAAGAGGCTGTTGAGAGTCAGGCAAGCAGCAGGCTCTCACTCTTTAGCCCTCTCTCCCTTAAATATGAGAATACATACTTTTTAATAACAGCCAATCCTCTCCTCCCCCTTTCCTGAGTATAGGGCATATATTAGATCAGTGATTCTCAAAGTAGGATCCAGGAACCAGCAGCATTAACATCACTTGATAAATTACTATAAATTCACATTAATTGACCCTGCCCCAGAGCTACTGAATTAGAAACTTTGGGGATAGAGCCCACAATCTGAGTTTCAGTGAGCCCTCCAAGTAAGTGTGATCGATACTACAGTTTGATAATTACTGTATTAGGGTATAGTTTGTTTGTCTATACCTGTGAGAATAATTGTATGCAGAGCCATACTACACAACCTATTAGTATATCGGCAAACAATTGTATTTTATATTTTTAAAACTACCACCTTTGACACTCATAAAAGATTTCTTTTTTTTTAATTTTTTTATTGCTTTAAGTATTACAAGGGGTATTACATATGTGTCCTTTTTTTCCCCGCCCTTGACAATCCCCTGGCCTCCCCTACCCCCCAGTGTCTTATGTCCATTGGTTATGCTTCATAAAAGATTTCTTAATGGATTAATTCCCACCCTAGTCCAGGAGATGCTACAACACAGGACAACCTTTAGGGGAAATGAAGGTTAATAATTTTGACCAGAAAATAAAGCCCCATAGATTTTCATTTAACTAGAAAAACTCTAACAACACAGGAATAATACCACTTGGATTAATTTAAAGAGAGAATTCAAACTTGGCCAGCTAAGAGGACAAAAAGGAAAATTAGAAGGACATATTTGTACCATGCTGCTACTGGGAAAAGCTTTGAAAAATAATTAGAGAGCAACTGTTGCTGGAGTTCATCTCTTTCTGCCTTACATAATAGAAAACTTAATCTTGTGCTTATTGCTTGTTCCTGTCAGCCCATAATTTTAACTATTTAAGCATAAATTGCCAAAAGGAGATAAAATTGTGGGTTTCCAAAAGCCAGATGTTATAAATAGAAGATAAAAACTGAGATAAAATGGAAATGCTCAAAATGGCTTATTTTACATGGAAAATTTACTTCATAAATTATTTTTCCATTATTTATGAAAGTATGCTTATACTTTAGCCTATCATAAAACTGCTTTTTTAAGTTTGGAACCTTTTTTGAGACATATCTGAAAATATTTAAAATTGGTTTTGATCATTATTGACTTACTGTGTACCATCTATATTCTGTAATTCTTATGTGCATTATATGAAACAATGCATTTCACTTCAATCCAATATATTTATAGAATATTTTATTTTTTAAGGAAAGATTTTATTATATCCCAGTTAGTTTAGGTTCCTATCATTTATATATTTGTATGTGTTTGCGCCTGTATGCACATAAAATAAGTGGTCAGTATATTCTTGTTTCCCACTTGGAAAATTGATCTTTTTACGTAATTTCTTTTTCTTTTTAATCCTCACTGGATAATATTTTTTCCATTGCTTTTTAGAGAGAATGGAAGGGAGGGATAAAGGGGGAAGGAGAGAGAGAGAAACATCGATGTGAGAGACACATTGATTGGGACCCGGGATCAAACCTGCAACTGAGGTACTTGCCCTTGACCAGGAATTTAACCCGCAGCCCTGAGGTGCACGGGTCAATGTTCTAACTACTGAGCACACCAGCCAGGGCTCTTATGTACTTACTGGTAACTTCTTTACATAAAAAAGGCTAGGTGTTAAATTGAAGGGTCCTTACTTTGATAAAATAGCCACATTCTTCCTTCCTATTAATCTTCTATATTATAATAGGTCTTCTTTAGAAATGTGATACTGTTTCAGTGTCTTGAAAATACTCTTGTTTCTCATTCATTTGATAATATTGCTTCTGTAATTACCTTATATTTGACAAGAAGTCTTAGAAAAGATATTTTCTATGGGTGAGAAAATTGCTCTGCCTTACACCCAACTAAACATTAATCACACTGAACAAAGTTAAAATGTATGTTTATGTCCTTGTTTTTAGGTGGACTATGTATTTACAGATAAAACTGGAACACTCACTGAAAACAGCATGGAATTCATTGAATGCTGCATAGATGGGCACAAGTATAAAGGTGTAACTCAGGAAACTGATGGACTCTCTCAAACTGATGGACCTTTAACATATTTTGATAAAGCAGATAAGGTGGCATTTTCTACATTGCCATTTTACTTTGAGAAATCAATCTATGTATCCATGTGTTAACCCTGCATAGTAGAAATGAATTTTAGCTTATGACAGACTTTTGAATAACCATTTGTTTCTTCTCTCATTTCACCTTTCTTGTTTTACTAACACCTCTGGAATTTGTAAACAAGTAGAGAAAATTATGGGAAATTGCATTGGGTAAAATTTCACCTCCCTGTCTGTGTGATCATAAATTTTTTGTGCTTTGTCTTTAAGATATGAGCTCTTCCGAGAATGATATCTAATTCAAATCATTTTAGTCCCTGGAGTGTCTAGGCAGTAAATGAACCAGAGTCTCCCTGTGCCTGAGCTATTGCCAGATTGTGAATTAGATACTGAATGAACTCTTTCAGGCAAGAAAAAGTCACCCCCTTGGGTATTAGGTAGCGCTACACTAACCTGAATGAGTTAACACAGCCCCTACGGTATGTGAGCTGAGAACCAGGAATGTTGTTAGGAACTAGGAAGATATATAGCTCAGCCGAGTATTAAGAATTTATAAATTTCTGCTAACTCTGTTCATGGACTAGTTACCAAGTGATCAAGGTGAAAATAATAGTCATTTTTTATTGTTACTGTTTAACAGAATCGAGAAGAGCTCTTTCTGCGTGCCTTGTGTTTATGCCATACTGTAGAAATTAAAGTAAATGATGCTGTTGATGGAGCTACAGAATCAGCTGAATTAACCTATGTGGCCTCTTCACCAGATGAAATAGCTTTGGTGAAAGGAGCTAAAAAGTAAGCACATGAATGCATTCTAGAGGTCTGCTCTAGAGTGTCATACCTATAGTTAACAATACAGTATTTTAGTATCACAGGTGTTTGCATGTGTCCAAACTCATCAAATTGCATACATTAAATATGTGGAGTTCTTCATATATCAGTTATACCTCAATACAGCTGTTTTAAAACCCTGAGATAAGTTGTTGAGAAATACATTAGCATTTTTGAAGAGTGAAAAAAAATGAAGCACTTTCTATACTTGTCCTGAGAAAGTGAAATCACAGGACAGGAGTTATTTTTTTCTCTCTGTTTGCTTCAGTAACCTTATCTTGTAAATATAGTTATTCTTTAGTAAAAAGTCAGACTCCTTAATCTGAAAGTTTAGGAAAAATTCCCAAACCCTAACCAATTAAGAGCAAAAAGAAAATAGTAATGCATAGGTGTAACTTGTACAGTGGGGCCTTGACTTACGAGTTTAATTCGTTCTGAGACCGAGCTCGTTAAGGAGCTCGTTAACTCAAATTACTCTATCAACTCAATGCAAAAAATCGCCGGAGAGACAGCTGGTATCTCAAAAGACTCGTTAGTCGGGACACTCGTAAGTCAAGGCCCCACTGTATTACTATTTATGCATACCAGCCAGAAGTCTAAATGTTCATGTTATATTTTTCATATCATAACAGTGGCCACTTTTTGTACAACACATGTTATATCTGAAGTGCTCCCAGCAATTTTGACATCATTTGGTAAAGATGGTCCCGTTTGACCCATGAGGGCCAAGATAATTAAGTGACTAAAAGGTCACGCAGTGTGTTAGTTACAGAATTGGATTTACAAATTGCCTCATTTTTGGTTACAATTTGTGACTGTTCATTGATTTGCTGTGTTATCATTTCAGCCAGTAAAGGGAAGATTATAGATTGATATCATATGAAAGAGAAGAAAACAATAAAAGATTACAAGTAACCCCAGTGCAAAGGAAAGGAATCATTCTTTAGAGATATACAAATGTCTTTTTTATTGTTTTTGACAGGTATGGGTTCACATTTTTAGGAACTCAGAATGGCCATATCAGAATAGAGAACCAAAGACAAGAAATAGAAGAGTAAGTAGCACTGTGTGTTTGTTTGTCACACCTTAATCCCACAGTCCACCTTAACTGAATATAGTAAGGGCAGCAAAGGAAACTGATTGCATCTACAAGTGTAGGACTCTGTTCTCCCAGTTTAGAGTTTTATGTAAATGTAGTTGGAGGAGGAGAAAGTTATTTTTTTCATAGAATGGCAGAAACTGAGATTTGATGTGGGAATGATTCCAGTTTGGTTCACATATGGATCCAGTAGCCTGAATGAGAGTCTGCCTGGACTTCCTTTCAGAAATTAAAATACCATTTCTGCTCTCCAACACATGCTGCAAGAAAAATCAGTGAACATGCATAAAACTTTATTTCCAGAACCCAACCAATAACTCTGGGATTTCAAGCCTAGCCAAACATGGCAGCTTTGGTGTTAGAAGCTTTGTCTTGGTCTAGATCAGCGGTTCTCAACCTGTGGGTCGCGACCCCTTTGGGGGTCAAATGACCCTTTCACAGGGGTTGCCTAAGACCATCGGAAAACACATATATAATTACATATTTTTTTGTGATTAATCACTATGCTTTAATTATGTTCAATTTGTAACAATGAAATTGGGGGTCACCACAACATGAGGAACTGTATTAAATTCAAAGGATCGCAGCATTAGGAAGGTTGAGAACCACTGTTCTAGATGATCAGGGTTAAGCCTTGGGGCAAGTATTCTAATGCATCAGTGTCTTCCCCTATGGAGACCTCAAGGAACAAAGCCACTTTAGCTTAACGGCAGATTTGAATTAGGCTCTATGATTAATTTGAAGTCCTTCATCTGAAGTTGAAATATAATTACCTGACTTACATTCTGGCCCCTAACATCTCATGAGACCCATCTCACACCCTGTAATACATGTAGATGCACCTTTAGGGCGGGATGCTCAGAAACCAGAGGAAGGCTCTTTGGCCTGACTGCCAAGAACCCAGAGTCATCATCTGTCCAGATTCTAACCAGTTTGCAACCAGTGCCCCCATCTTGGCCAACACCAAGTGAAATACTACATGTTTATGTTTTACACACACATATCCTCAAATAATGACCTCCTCCCTCCCATCAAAAACAAGCTTTGTGATATTTTTAGGACAAATGCTTGTCTCCAAATTGTTTATTTTAAAAAAAATCTTACATTTTTAAAATATTTAACTCATATTTTTACCCTTGTGCATCATTTCATTTGATTAATATAGCTCAACCATTCATACACAGATCTGATCATATCATTCCACTGTTTAAACCTTTCAGTGGATTTCTATTGCTCTTAGGATAAAATATCAAATCTGTGGCCCACAATGTTCTCATTTCCCAGCCCCTGCTTAGAGTCCTTACTCTTCCCCTATCAATTAGATGTCAAGCCTTAGTGAACTACTGTATATTCCAACCATGGTCCATATGTAATCATACTCTTGTGCCTTTGCACATACTCTTCCCTCTACTCAGAATGCCATGCTACTCTTTCTTCATCATAACACTTCTAGAGAACACAACTCAGGTACAACTATTTCCAGGAAGCCTTCCTTCGGATGTCTTCATTCTGCACACTCACATCTCCCCTATGAGTTCCTTTATTTATTACAGTTTTTGGCAGACTGGAAAGTAATCTTATTACTTTACCCTCTGATTGCCTTATCATATGAGGAGCCCTTTGAGGGAAGGGTCTGAGGAGATTCCTGTCTATTTTCTAGCACCTAGCACTGTGCCTGACACATATTAGACATTCCATAGATGATTGAAATAATTGTCAGGGTGAGACTATTTCTAGATCCCTTCAGATATGGCTCGGTGGGACATCTTTTTGTCCCCTATTCCTATATAGTTGCTCACTCCTTACATTTTAGGTAATATAATGAGAAGATACAGATACCCCTCACCAACAATGGTATCCTCTGACAGCATGCTCTAAATGCAGAGACATTTAAAAAACACAGTAAAAATCCCCAGTTGTACACATAACTAGCACCCCTTACCCAAAGAGAAGAGCTTGGTTCATTAAAGATGTTTAAATATCTTAAGATATTTCTCTTGTGATTTATTTTTCCCAGTATGGTCTAGGTATTTTACTTTTCTCATTTTTCTTCTCATAAAGGTATGAACTTCTTCACACCTTAAACTTTGATTCTGTCCGCCGTCGTATGAGTGTTATTGTGCAGACTAAAGAAGGTATGCATTTTTGAAAAAATAACTTTTTCTCTTTTTCCATTTTAGATTTATATTTAATCAACAATTTCAAGAAAAAAAACATTAAATGTAGTAGTATATGATTACCTAACATATCAAGCAGTAGCTTCATATAGGCCTTCATGTATTTATATAAGTAAGCACATGTATTCGCTTGTCAAATTGTCATTGGTAGAACCCCTGGTATGACAGTGTATGCCTTTTCTTGGAAACTGAGCTCTACTCAGTCATGGTTGTCCAAATAGGAACTGAAAGGGTGACTTTTTTGTTCTGGGTACTGACCAATCACCAATAATGTCTACATGCAATAGCTCAGTACGATTGTGGGGTTTGCAATTACTAGCCGTAAAGTCCTTGAGTGTAGAGTTGCTGGTTATCCCTCCCTGACCTTCCTCATTCCCCATTGGTTTACACTCCCTGGACGCTGGTGAGCTAGAGATAACTAATGGCCAGCCTAATATGAAAGAGCATTGTAATTTTACTTCAGCACTCTGGCCTCTTTGACAGTCAAAAAGCTTGCCCTTTGCTTGCAAGGGAACCAGTGCCATCATCCCAGGGTTCCCCCGTATCTTTGGGAGGAGCCATGGTGGTCAAGATATCTTCTGTTCGAATTCAGCAAGACTCATGAGAATGCTTCATTTGGGGGCTCTCAGAAACCTCTGTATCTATTTGTGTTTGTGTATGTGCATGTGTCTGTCTCTGGGTGGTTTTTTCAAAATATCCTTGATTAATTTTCTAGTAATTTACTTTTTAGTATTAAATCTGTTGCAAATTCCTGAATGTGAGAATAGGAAGATACAGACAGACTCTTGAGGGAATGTATCCCACTTTATTCATACTTTTTGGTGTGACTGCAAATGAAAATGATTTAATTATGTTAATGTACAATTTGCTTTGTGACTTTTACACAAATTGGATGTGTGAGAGAAAATGAAAAAACAAACAAACATTTTAAATACTTGCTGTTTTTACCTGTGCCCATGCACATATGCATTCTACTGCAAATGGTGAGATATCTGGGGAAGTGGTATGCCAAGGGCCTTAACCTCTGAGCAATACTGTTATTTTTTAACTTGTTGGACTTAGCATTTTGCCTTATAAGGATGAAGTGTTTATCGTTATGCTCAACTATTACTACTTTCCTGAGTGCATGGACTGATATAAACCTTTACTTGTGCTACTAAGTACAATGTATTCTCAACTGTCTTCTACAAAGCTAGTCTCAAGTTTCTGGTAAAAACCGTCAAGCCACTGTTTTAAAAGCTAATTTATATAGTTTATTTAAAATGAGTTTACCTTGTTTGAGATTAAGTTTGGTCCTTGACATCAGTAGATGCCACAGGTGCTCTTTAGACCATGGCTGACAACATTTTCCAAGATAATTCAGATGCACTTGACACAAGCATAGACTTTCATGATTCACTAGAAGGAAGTATATTTTAACAGAGGTGCATGTTGTAAACTCTGAGTTATTACTTATGTCCATATCGGTCTTAAGAGATGGTGAATGTTGTCCTGACAATGCAAAGGTCAAGATGTCTCATTCCATTTGGGTGAGCATTTCAAGGCAGGCTCAGGATACATAACAGCTGAGTGAGAATATCCACCCTAATCATTCAATGTTATTAAAGTCCCAGTACAAGGCTTAAAATTCTAAGTCGACTACTTTGGTTTTTTATTTTAGGAGGCATACTTCTCTTTTGTAAAGGTGCCGACTCAGCAATTTTCCCCAGGGTGCATAATCATAACATTGAGTCAACCAAAGCCCATGTGGAACGAACTTCAATGGTGAGCCTTCACTCTAACCCCCCAAGAAATAGAGAAATGATGGAAATGACTTATTTAAATATCTGTTTAAGTGAATTTTAGCTTCTCTTTATGGTTTATTTTCAGAATTGGGGCTTTAGTAATAGTGTTTACCATATTTTAATATAAAACATTTTTCTAGAGCAAGTTTCTCTTCAGAATTTGGAGCTTTAAAGACTTTTCAAGAATGTATTATGTTCTGTGGGGTTTTTTTTTGCCCCCAGAGATATTTTGTTATTTTGAACTTAATTGAATGTTACCTTTTTAGTTGTAATTTGTTCTTTTTTTAAAACTAAAAATATATCAGAATTTCTCTTTGTTTGGTAAAGTAAGAGTACTTAAAGAAAATGTGTTTTTTCCCCCCTGTTATTATTTAGATAACTAGAGATCTCCTACTTTGCTTCTAGGATGGGTATCGGACACTTTGTGTAGCCTTCAAAGAAATTCCTCCAGATGATTATGAAAGAATTGACAGACAGCTCGTAGAGGCAAAAATGGCCTTACAACAGAGAGAAGAAAAATTGGAAACAATTTTTGATGATATTGAGACAAACATGAATTTAATTGGAGCCACTGCAGTGGAAGACAAGTAACTAGAATATAATATTCTTGTTATTTTAATGACCAGTCATTTAGGGTGGTATCTGTTCAGATTAGTAATTTAATCTCAAATTTTGAAATCTTTGATTTTGCTTTGTCTACACACCAGATTGTGAACTATTCATGGGAATGATTATTAAGTTAATTATTTGTGAGTTAGAAGATGACTCTGTCATCTTTAAGGTCTTTTGAATACTTACTAAGCCATTCATTTATTTATGCAGATATTTATGAAATAGTCTTACTAGGCATAGGGCGCTTTGTGCTGAAGACATCATTTAAGCTGAATTAGTGCCTGGTAGAATGGGTAAAATTTTTTAAAATATATTTTTATTAATTTCACAGAGGAATGGAGAGGAAGAGAGAGAGAGAAACATCAATGATGAGAGAGAAACATTGATTGGCTGCCTCCTGCATGCCCCTTACTGGGGATCAAGCTCGCAACCTGGGCATGTGCCCTGACCAGGAATTGAGCTGTGACCTCCTGGTTCATAGGTTGATGCTCAACCACTTAGCCATACCAGCCGGACAAGAATAAGTAAACTTTTGACAGAGATAAGCTGAAAGGAAATTTCAAGGTAGAGCAAATAACATGAGAGCTCATTCTAACCTGGTTTAACAGACTAGAGCTTGTTTTTGCATACTTTAAAATGATTTACTTTAATTATATAGGCTGAGCTCTGACAGACATAATTATAGGGCTCCAACAAGTTTTAGACTTAATATTGGAAGAGATTTTTAGAAATTATAAATGCCCAATTGTTGAGACAACCAAACAAAGTTACAAACATATATTTAGCCATATTGGAAGGTACTGCAATTCTAATGAAATCCATTTAGTTTAATTTCATTTTTATTCTCTTGACAAAAGGAATCAAAGAAAGTATCATTCTTCTTTTATTCCTGCCTTTCAGAATTATGCTTAAACTAGAGGCCCGGTGCACAAAAATTTGTGCACTTGGGGAGGGGGGGGTCCCTCAGCCCGGCCTGTGCCCTCTCGCAGTCTGGGACCCCTCGAGGGATGTCCACCTGCTGGCTTAGCCCACTCTCTGGGGGATCGGGCCTAAGTTGGCAGTCAGACATCCCTCTGGCAGCCCGGGAGCCCTCAGGGGATGTCCACTTGCCAGCGGGGAACAGGCCTAAGCTGCGGTCAGACAACCTTAGCGCTGCTGAGGAGGCGGGAGAGGCTCCCGCCATCACTGCTGTGCTGGCAGCCATTAGCCTGGCTTGTGACTGAGGAGAGCTCTCCCTGTGGGAGCACACTGACCACCAGGGGACAGCTTCTGCATTGAGCATCTGCCCCCTGGTGGTCAGTGTGTGTCATAGTGACCAGTCATTCCCAGTCATTCTGCTGTTAGGGTCAATTTGCATATTACCCTTTTATTAAATAGGATAGAGGCCTGGTGCACGGGTGGGGGCCGGCTGGTTTGCCCTGAAGGGTGTCCCAAATCAAGATGGGGGTCCCACTGGGGTGCCTGGCCAGCCTGGGTGAGGAGCTGAGCACTGTTTTCAGGCTTGCCATGCCCCCTGGCGACTCAAGCTCCCAGCCTCTCCTTTTTTTCTTTCTTTTTTTCCCTGGGATTTATTTATCTTCTATAATTGAAACTTTGTAGCCTTTAGCAGAGCCCAGGCCTGCCAGGGCAGACAGGAAGCTTGGGTTCCTCCATCACCATGGGCAACCCAAGCCTCCTGCTCGCTCCAGCTCCATGGCCACTGCCATCTTAGTTGGGTTAATTTGCATACTTGCTCCTGATTGGCTTGTGGGTGTGGCTTGAGTGTAGCAGAGGGATGGTTAATTTGCATATTTTTCTTTTATTATATAGGATTCTCTTTCAGGATGGTTGGCTTTTCTGTTCTTAAAGCTCCTCAGGGATGATATTCACTAACTTCCCTCAATATCTTATTTGAATGTCTTTGGCCCTTTCTGTTTTAAACCATGTTAAGTATCTGTGTGGTGAGACATAATATAAAATTTAATATGCTAAAGTGACAATGAATAAGAATGCTTGGTGAGTTTCTGAATATTTTAGCTAAGAATGCTGATTCTCACTTCTGCCATAGGATATCAGTTATATCAAGAGATGTCATGAATTTGTCCAAACCTCATTCTTTGAAATTCACTTTAATAAGTAAAACTGTGCCAGAGAGAACACTCTCAGAGTAGAGGATACATAAGAAAACCAACTGTGATAACATGTCAGGACTCCAGAAATGCTGTGTATTGTAAAAATATTCTCTTTAACAAGCCTTCTTGCAGAATCTCTGTTGGGAATTTTTGAGGATAATGAGTTTTCCTTTGTGTTCTCAGGCTACAAGATCAAGCAGCTGAGACCATTGAAGCTCTGCATGCAGCAGGTCTGAAAGTCTGGGTGCTTACTGGGGATAAGATGGAGACAGCCAAATCCACCTGCTATGCCTGCCGCCTTTTCCAAACCAGCACTGAGCTCTTAGAATTGACCACAAAAACCATTGAAGAAAGTGAAAGGAAAGAAGATCGATTACATGAATTGTTGATAGAATACCGTAAGAAGTTGCTCCATGAATTTCCTAAAAGTACTAGAAGCCTTAAAAAGTAAGAAAGTGCATCAGTTTCTTATATTTAGGCATTGGTACAGATATAAATCACAGCTTTTTATGCAGAAGGCTCTGTTTTTTTACTTATCATTCTTTGTTTGCAGGTATTTTATCCTTATAAATTAAAAACATTCCCTGAGGGCTCTTCCGGGGATGGTGACTTTAGTTTAGGTATTCACCATGGTCCAGCATTTGACATACATTCGGAGGCTGTCCTACAATACCGCCTCTAACAAAACGAGACTGTCCTGAACCCCTGGTAATAGAATTGTTTACCTTTATACCAAGAAGGTTGGGAAAGCACCAAAATCTGCATGTGGTATGTGCCCAGGCCGACTTCTCAGAATTTGTGTTGTGAGGCCTAAAGTTCTAATGAGGTTGTCTAAAACAAAAAAACACATCAGCAGGGCCTATAGTGGATCCATGTGTACTAAATGTGTCCGTGACAGGATCAAGCGTGCTTTCCTTATTGAGGAGCAGAAAATCGTTGTGAAAGTGTTGAAGGCACAAGCACAGAGTCAGAAAGCTAAATAAATTTAAAAATGAAGCTTTTTTGAGTAATTAAAAAACACACACAGCATTCCCTGGGGATGTGGCTAATGGCCCAGTTGAAATTATTTGGTACTTCCTACCTCTAGTTTAAAAGAAAACCATGCACTTCTCAAGGTTTATGAAACTAGTTCAGTTTCTCGATATTTAGGGCCTGGGTATTTAGCATTGATAGTCTGGCCTGGTCCATGTTAATAAAAAAATACATCTTTTCACAGTCTATTAAACTGAATGTAATAAAACTGATCTCTGTAATAGTTTCCATATATTTTGAGACCCTGGAGCCATTTTCTGTGTTGATTTTCATGCCACAGAATTCCAAAGGTAACCAAATTCTTGTTGACATGGACACTTGGATTCTGCTTTCAACTAGCTGCTTATGAAGAACTGTGGAACCCTCGGATCTCAAGGAAAGCCACTGATCCACAATAATTCAATGATATATTTTTCTAGAATTATCATTGACTAGGGCTTAGCCTTGTCTGAAGCAATTATTGGAATTTACCTTGGCTATAAGGAAATTGATTTCCTCTTTAGGATGTGCTTACACTAAATTCAAAGACCCCTAGATAATACTGTTTTTCATTTCTTGAGCACCCCCTTTGTTCCAGGAACAGTGTTAAGCACTTTATATAATTATTCTCATTTAATCTTCACTACAAACTAGTAAGGCAATCTTATTTTCTTCAACTTACAGATAGGGAAACTAAGGCTTTGAGGTGGAATAAGTCTATCCAATTCCAGAGTCCATGCTATATCTTTAACAACTCTACTATATTGTCATCTTCATCTCCATTGTTTAAACCAACTTTAGAAATGAATACCACACATTCATGAGGCTATGGTCAATTCTAAAACAGCAGTTTTTCTTCTGGTATTTGGGCATCAATGAGAATAAACAGGTTTTTATGATTAAAGTTTTCTTCCTTTAACCAAATGATACTTATTAAAGGCAGTCAAAATTACAAGCATTTTACTTTTCCATTTGTCTTAGTCTGCTTGGGCTACCATATCAAAATACCATAGACTGGTTAGCTTATCCAGTGGAAACTAATTTCTCATAGCTGGTATGGTCCCTCTTTCTAGCTTGCAGAAAGCTGCCTTTACACTGTGTCCTTACATTGCAGAGAGGGGGGAAGCTCTGGTGTCTCTTCTTATAAGGACCCCACCCTTATGAATTTATTTAAACCTAAGTATCTCCCAAAGACTCCATCTCCAAATACCACCACATTGAGGGTTAGGGTTTCAAAATAGGACATGGTAGGGGACACAATTCAGTTCATAGCACCATTCAGCAGCTCTGGAGCACTTTTATAAGAGCCAGGGCTTATGGAACCCTTCACTTCTCAGCTCAGAACATTTCCTCTTCCTGGCTCATCTGTTTGGAGTTGTGCGGGTACAGTCTTTCCCCAGGTTACATAGATGGCAGACCTAGAATCACTTCTGCCAGCTTCTGCTTCTTTGTCCCTTCCACTTTAGATCAGCCACCAAGCCTTATTCATGTTCTCATTTTCACCACCGGTGCTCCACAGCAAATTTTGTAGCAACCCATGCCTCAAGTCCCTTAAGCCCCTCTGCCAGACAAGTGGTCCTTAAATGTGAAGTACTGCCTATATCTTGTCCCTGCTCAGAAACCTTAAGTGGTTCTCCATTACCCACAGAATCAGTTTGCACCAAAGGCCTCAAGTGACATTTTCATTTTGCTTTCCTAGTGCAGGATACATTCTCTCCACACACCACTTTCTGCCCTGTCTTTCAAGGTCCATTTCAGATATCACACCTCACAAAGAACCCACTATTCTTCCTGTGTATTTATTTTCCCAATCACTGGATAGTGACTATTTAATATCTTGTTTGGTTGGTTATAGTCTATCATGTATGCTTTTGTCATCCCAATGAGATTTTCTGTTCTACAAGGAAAGAGTAATTAATAATTCTTTTCATTGTATATAATTGATGTTTACAAATATTGCTTGATTGATTATTGAGTCACTGTTTTCTGTATATTAAGTCTGCTCTGTGGGTAGGGGAGCAAAGAAGGTGAACACATGAATGATATCTCTTTAGTGAGTGAAAAAATGGTCGTTAAATTATGAAGCAAAATATGGATATGTACAAAATATTATGGTGTTAGCAATATACAACAAAGAAATATGGCATAAAGGATAGATGAGGCATATTAGGCTCTCACTACTCAAAGTTTGGTCCATAGAACAGCATCTCCATTACCACCAGAAGCTTGTTAGAAATATAAAATCCCATGTCCCACCCCAAACCTATTCAATCAGAATCTACAAGATTCCCAGAAATTTTGACAAGATTCTTTTAACATTAAACTTTGAGAAGCATCAAGTTAGACAAGTGAATTTATAATGATGAGATCCAGCTGTGTCTAATTCACTGCAGTGGTTCTCAAATAGCACCCAAATTTCCTGAGCTAACATTGACTAATCATTGTTTTTTCTTCATTGTAAAAAAAATAAAGACATGTTAATTGGTAGAATTTTCTCAGTTGTAAGTTTTACCCTCATATGTTTTTCTTAAATACTTGGCACTGGTTACATTTTTCTTTCCTGGCTATGCATGAGAATCACCTGAAGAGCTTTTTAAAGTATTAATACAGTATATGTAACTGAGCCCTGCCCAAGATACTCTGATTTAATTTATCTGGGGATAGTCCTCACGTAATGGGCAATTTTTTATTTTATTTTTATTAAATATATTTTTATTGATTTCAGAGATAAAGGGAGAGGGAGAGAGAGATAGAAACATCAGTGATGAGAGAGAATCATTCATCAGCTGCCTCCTGCATGCCCCCTACTGAGGATCGAGCCTGATACCCCGGCATATTCCCTTAACTGGAAAAGAACCTGGGACCCTTCAATCTGCAGGCCAGCGCTCTATCCACTGAGCCAAACCAGCTAGGGCACATGGGCAATTTTTTAAAACTGCTCAGATGATTCTAATGGGAAGGCTATGGCTGAGAACATTAATCAAGTATAAAATGATACTTATTTAATGAACATATATTGTTGTATGGTATTCTTTAATGAACACCATATATTTTAGGTACTCCATCACATTTGAGAAGCCTGGTTTACTGATAGTTTATGTCATTCAGGCAAAAATATTAGGAAAAGGTCTTCTGTGACTGTATACCCCAAAGCCATTTTGTCTTTTACTTATATTGTTAAGAAGTTTTTAGATTGACTAATGATTTGTCTTTATATCAGAGTTTGATCTGTAATTTCCCAAATTCGCCTTCGGTTTCTTATAGAGACTGACCACTAAATGTCCATTATTTTTATCCCATTTAGAACTTAATGTTATTTATATAGGCAGCTTGAGTCTCAAACATGTGATGAAAGTCTCTGATGTGCCTTTATTAGAGGCAGTTTTTTCTTTAGAATGTATAGGTTTAGGAATCAGATTGATGATGATTTATGGGAGATCCTCCTTCTTATAGTTTAAAAGAAATAAGGTTCCTAAATAGAATTGTATAATAGATTCAAATACAGCATTATTTTTTTATTTTCAGAGCATGGACAGAACAACAGGAATATGGATTAATCATTGATGGCTCCACATTATCACTCATATTAAATTCTAATCATGACTCCAGTTCTAACAATTACAAAAGCATTTTCGTACAAATTTGTATGAAGTGCACTGCAGTGCTCTGCTGCCGGATGGCACCATTGCAGAAAGCACAGGTAACTGGATATTAGTTAATGTTCTGTTCTGGGGACTTCTACTTACACGTGCATATGTTCACTTTACTTTTAATTTGTTTCTTCTTTTACGGGCCATTATTACGTTATTACATCTTCCTTGGCATCAACCTCTTTGTGGTCAAAGTCAGGAGTCTTCCCACCGATTTGAATTAAACCAGCGTTGTTGTTCCCTCAAGCTGGCTGTCCAGTCCCTCACCTTCCGAACTTCTCTAATGAATGATTGGTGCCTGCTGCCTACCCTGGTCCCATGTGTTCTTTCTTCTCATCTTGCTCTGTTGGATCGCCTGGAGGAGAGCAATGACCTCCTAGCCAAATCCATCATGCTATCTTTCATTCTCCTCCTCAGTTCTTTGCTGCAGTTGACACTATCAATTATATCTCCTTAAAATTCCTCCCTTGGTTTCTATGATGGTTCACAGTCCTGACTTTCCCCCGCTACTTGGCAATCTAGTGTCTTTTTATTTTGTTTCATCTTCTGTCTTTCCCCTAATTATCAGTTTTCTCTGGTCTTGATTTTTCCTTTTCATTATGTCTCATATTTCTAGCTGCCTGCTCGACAGCTCCATATGGATTCCCCACTGTCACATTAAATTTTAGTGTTCAAAACAGATCTTACAATTTTCTCCTTCAGGCCAGTTTATTTTATATCTTTATTATTCCTATTACCAATGCCATTTTTTTCTTTTGCGTTCTAAGTCTCCAAAGTACCTCTGACCCTGCTCTTCTCCTTCACTCCATATATAGGCACTATGTCCTGTTGATTCTACCTTTTGTCATAGCTCTCATTTTGGTGCCATCTTTTTAAACCTTTCACCTCTAGCCCAGTCTAAGCCCTAACGACTTTACACAGAGACTATTTGATTTGGTCTCCTTGTTTTCACAATTCCCCCTTTAATCTCTTTCCCCACACTCCCAAATTAATCTTGTTAAAACACTACCTCTCTCATCATATATTCTTGCTCCAGCACTTTCAGTAGTTTCCTAGTCTCTTAGGAGGAAGGACAGATGACTCAATGTGGGCTTACCCTGTTGACCCTTGGGTCCACCATAATTCCCATATCCAGTGTGAATTGTTCCCCTTTTGTGTGCTTCCAACATGCTGTGCGCTTGCCAACTTCCAAGCTCTTCTCATATCATTTCCTCATCTGGGATTCTCTCAGAATTGCTCTTTGTCTAACAAAAAGTATACTCAATAAAACCCATTTCAAGCCCACTCCCATATGCTGTCTTTTTCAGCTCCTCCATCCCACATTGATCTGCTTCACCTTACTTTCTTGTACTCACTGGGTCCAAGGAACTTTAGAGTCTCAGTGACATACTTTTTCACTGCTACACACACGGCATTCTTTCATATGTGTTAGGCTTGCTTCTTCAGATTCTTCAGCTACTTACTCTAAATGCAGGGGAGGACTGTCTTTGGCTTCTCCTTTACATATAACCTGCCCTCTACCTCACACATGCATGCACACGCATGCCCATCTTCTTTTTAAATATTTTATTGATTTTTTACAGAGAGGAAGGGAGAGGGATAGAGAGTTAGAAACATCAATGAGAGAGAAACATTGATCAGCTGCCTCCTGCACACCCCGTACTGGGGATGTGCCTGCAACCAAGGTACATGCCCTTGACCAGAATCAAACCCGGGACCCTTAAGTCTGCAGGCCGATGCTCTATCCACTGAGCCAAACCGGTTACGGCACATGCCCATCTTAATTGAAGACATTGTCTCTCTCTACTTTCTTCTCACTCTCAATTCCCACCACAGTCAGGTGCTTGTCTTTTTTGCTCAACTCTCAGAGCCCTGGTTAGCCCCATATGGGGAAGCACATCCTGCCAGAAAAGGATCCAAAAATATCTGTCCATTTAGTAAGAAGCAATACCCCCCCCCCACAATCACAATCGTTGCTCAAGTTGCTTACCTGGGTTTTGATTCCATTGCCCAGGCTGGTGTCTGTATTCCTGACCACATGCTAATTCTCCCACCCAGAATATGGAGCTCCCTGTGGTGCAATCCTCATTCTGTTTTATTTCTCTTTCTATAGTCACTTCTGGGCTATCACCTACTTATCTGTCATGGCCATGTGGGTGATTTTCAAGTCACTTCTCCAATCTTTGGGTTTAACTTTATTTCTGTAGCTTCTTATTGAACACATCTTGGGTGTGCCATTATCACCTCAACTCACCCTTCACTAGAGCCCAACTATCATTTTTCTTGTCTTTTTCTATATCTACTAGAGGCCCAGTGCATGAATTCGTGCATAGGTGGGGTCCAGTCGGCAGATCGGGGCCGGGCCTGTCGGGAGGAGGAGATGGTGGAAGATTGCCCTTGAATCTAGTGTATGCTTTTGCCTTCTTTGTCAAATATTAATTGAGCATAGTGGCTTGGGTCGATTTCTGGGTTCTCTGTTCTGTTCCATTGGTATACATGTCTGTTCTTGTGCTAGTACCAGGCAGTTTTGAGAACCGTGGCCTTTTAGTATAACTTGACATCTGGTATTGAGATCCTTCCTACTTTGTACTTCTTTCTCAGGATTTGGGGAATAGCTGCGGCTACTCGGGGTCTTTTTTTATTCCATACTAGAGGCCTGGTGCACAAAATTCATGCATGGGTGGTGTCCCTAGGTCTGGCTGGTGATCAGGACTGATCGAGGCCATGCCAATCAGGGCTGGGTTGGAGAGGAGGCGACGGTCGCCTGGCCGGGTGTGGAAGGAATGGATGCTGGATGCCACCGCTGCCATTGTCGGCACCCTTCCACTGCGTGGTTCTCTGCTTCCCCCACTCCTTCTTCCCTCACCACCAGGCCACCATGACAGCGGGCAGGTGGCAGGCCGATTGGGGCTGCTGGCCTGAGAGAGAGACAGGGCATAGGAGGTTGGGCAGCCGGGGGGAGGGCCCGCAGGAGGTTGGCCAGCCAGCTTCACCCCCCGATTTGCTGGCCATAGTGGGCATCATAGTGACTGGTCGTTCCAGTCATTACGGCATTCCATTCTCTGGCTTTTTATATATATAGATTACTGAACTCACTATACTTCCAGTTTTCTAGATTTAAAATGTTGAAATCTCTGTTGACTTCCCCCATGCTTTACCATATGGTTTCAGTCACTGAATTCTGTCTGTTTTCTAGAACATCATTGTCGTTTCCATCTATTCCTTTCTTTCCATTACTTTTCAGGTCTAGGCTTTTAACAACTAATTGAACGGCAGCTATAACTAGCCACCTAACTTCTTTTTGCCTGCAGTTTTACTTTTTCTTTCTGTTCTTGTACCCTACTGCCACTCAGAATATCACTCCCTGTTGATCTGGCCCCAGGTGTACCTGGTATCTCCCCTATATGGAAACTCATTGATTTGCTCAAGCCAGATCTATTTTCTGAGCATATGCTGTATTTACCTGGCTGTATGTCTTAGAACATGATATTTTCTTTCTCTGGCATACTCCAACCCCCTTTTCCCCATCAATGCAAAACTTACCAATCTATTATGATTGATATCAAATCACTCTTATGTAAAATTATTCCTGATCACTGTGGCATATAGTGTCCTCTTCCTTCTCTATGGTCATAGGTTTTCTTATGTGGGTGACTTAGATGACATTTGTGTTATATATTCCCTTGTACAGATGATCGCATAGTGTTGTTTCTTAATTGGATTATCTAATATTCTTGATTCATTCCCTATCTCTGCTACTTCATCATATACTTTTTTTTCATCATATGCTTTTTAAGGTGTGTGACCAAGCCTTGTATCTTTTTTTTGGTATTTGTATATTGCTTTGCACTTTAAATTATATGAAGTTATAGTTGAGAAATAAATCACTTTTGGTAAATTGATTTCTTTTTCATGAAGCTATCCTAGAGATTGAAGAGAAATTCTTTTTTAGTTTTTTTTTTAATTTTATAGATTTCAGAGAGGAAGGGAGAGGGAGAGAGAGATAGAAATATCAGTGATGAGAGAGAATCATTGATCGGCTGCCTCCTGCATGCTTCCTACTGGGGATTGAGTTGGCAACCCGGGAATGTGCCCTTGACCAGAATCGAACCTGGGACCCTTCATTCCGCAGGCCAACGCTTTATCCACTGAGCCAAACCAGCTATGGCTGAAGAGAAATTCTTAATCCAGGTGACCTGGGTCCCAGAAAAAGAAAATTAATGTTAATCCATAAATCTGTCATTATTTCATAGTGTGTGACCATATATCCTTTACTTCCCACAAGGACAAGCTTTATTGTTTTTAATCTATTTTTTTATGTGGAAGCTGTCACCTTTGATAATTTCATTACCTTTCCTGGCTGTAGTTTTTCTTCCTTGAGGTGCAAATCATTACTGCACTTAGTATAAGAAGTGCAATTAGTTTAATGAGTATTGTAGCCCATAAAAAATCAATTTAGTTTGGGTTCTTTAATTTTGTCTTTGACTTACTGATAATTTCTGACAGTCTTATAAAGCTTTTTAAATGAACCCAAATGAGAAGGATTGGCAGAAAGCTGGCATTTCACAGTACCACCATTTTTTAGTTAAATTGAATTGGATGTGGATTTGGGGGTATACTATTTAATACTGAATAAAACCTGACTGATTTTTTTTTTAAAGAAAATACTGTGGGTTGGTGTATATAAATTATTTTTAATTACTTCAGTTGTGTTTAAAATGAATTGCCCTACCAGTGTCTCTCAGTGGTTGGGCATCGACCCAGGAACCAAGAAGGTACCAGAGGTTCGATTCCTGGTCAGGGCACAAACCCGGGTTGATGGCTCGATCCCCAGTAGGGGGCATGCAGAAGGCAGCCAATCGATGTTGCTGTTTCTCTCTCATTGATGTTTCTACCGCTCTATCCCTCTTCCTTTCTAAAAATCAATAAAAACATAGTTTAAAAATGGATTTTATTTATGTTAACTATTGAAAGCGATTATGAGGACATAATTTTTGCAAGACATTATTTGACTGCTGGATTATATAAACTTTTATTTTTTAATATATTTTATTGATTTTTGACAGAGAGGAAAGGAGGGATAGAGAGTTAGAAGCGATGAGAGAGTTGATTTTTGACAGAGAGGAAAGGAGGGATAGAGAGTTAGAAGCATCGATGAGAGAGAAACATTGATCAGCTGCCTCCTGCACACTCCCTACTGGGGATGTGCCTGCAACCAAGGTACATGCCCTTGACAGGAATCGAACCTGGGGCCCTTCAGTCTGCAGGCCGATGCTCTATCCACTGAGCCAAACCAGTCAGGGCTAAACTTCTAAAAGCTACTAGATTCCCAGGGGTTTTGAGGGTTGACACATAAAGCAGTCATTATCTAAAACATAGGGTGAGAGGACAGCTGTTTACCGAATACACTTCTCACAAGTAACTCCACCAGATTTATTTTATTCAGTACCTACCATGAACACAGCATTGAGCTACACTCTGTCATCAACACCTTGAAGAGACACTCAAGGAACAGTGACAGGCTTTTTACACATATCTCAGATAGCTTCTGCAAATTTCACCACCTTTAAGATGTCCCCCTTTAAAATGCAGCTACCGCCCTAGCTGGTTTGGCTCAGTGGATAGAGCATCGGCCTGCAGACTGAAGGGTCCCGGGTTCAATTCTAGTCAAGGAAATTTGCCTGGGAAGTGTTTGATCCCCAGCAGGGGACATGCAGGATGCAGCTGATCAATGAGTCTCTCTCATCATTGATGTTTCTATCTCTCTTTCTCTCTCCTTTCCTCTCTGAAATCAATAAAAATATTTTTAAAAAATAAAATGCAGCTACCTATAGGAAAGATGAAATCATATTGGGCAGTGGGACAAATTTAGTTGGCAGCTAGATGAGTGCAATAATTTTTTAAATATATTTTATTGATTTTTTACAGAGAGGAAGGGAGAGAGATAGAGAGTTAGAAACATCGATGAGAGAGAAACATCGATCAGCTGCCTCCTGCACATCTCCTACTGGGGATGTGCCCGCAACCCAGGTACATGCCCTTGACCGGAATCGAACCTGGGACCTTTCAGTCCGCAGGCCGACGCTCTATCCACTGAGCCAAACCGGTTTCGGCAGAGTGCAATAATTTAATGTCAGAAAAGTCCCTCGGGATAAGGGTTGGGATGCAACAAGGGAGAGTGTCAGCAGGGAGGGGAGAGGGAGAGGTTCCCCAAAACATTGTCCTCTCACTTCCCACTTTTGTTCTGGTAGCCCTATGCATGATACCCCAAATCAGCTTTCTGGTCTCTACTGCCACACGTTCAGCACTGATATGAAAAGACACATGAAGCTATGACAAAAGAGGGAAACAAGTTGTCCTCTAATATAGATAAGAGGCAGGGATTTTGACATTCATACATTCACAGAACTAGAAACAAGTGCGCACTGGTATTATATTTTTTCTTTTTTATTGGCTTTATTGGGGTAACATTGGCTAATAAAATTATATAGCATTAAGGTATCCAATTGTATAATACATCATCTGTATATTGTATTGTATAATACATCATCTGTATATTGTATTGTGTGTTCACCACCCAAAATCAAAGTCTCCTTAGTATTATATTTTGAAAAGCTGTGTTCTTCTGCCTCTGAGATTCGAGACTATTGCACATATATGCACACACTCCCTTTCTATTTGCAAGGCCAAAATTTACAAGTGTGAATGAGGCATCTAACCCTAATGTAGTACAATCTCATTTTCGGCTTTGACCTTTTTTATACCTCTTTTGTATTTAATGTTTAGATTGTCAGAATGGTGAAGAATTTAAAAGGGAGCCCAATAACACTGTCAATAGGTGATGGTGCCAATGATGTTAGTATGATCTTGGAATCCCATGTGGGAATAGGTAAGAAACATCTAATGAGATGGCAGCTGTAAGGTATCAGTATTGCTTTTAGGTAGAGTGGTCCTATATTCTAGAGATTTATTTTGGTTGCTCATACTGAATTCAAATTTTGGTATAATAATTGTTAATTGAATGAAGGTTGTCATTTGACCATGCACTATGTCCATCCCAAAGTCCTATTTCTGGGGGGAATGTAGAAATACAAAGTTGAGAATTTTTTTATATGATCCAAGTAAAATGAATTTCCCAAACTTACTGGCAGCACAATTGATCTCACTTTGACATAATGAAGGAAATTTTATTGATTTTCCACTCCTGGCCAGATTGCCTCCTTATGTTGCTGCACTGTCTTTTGAGATACTTAACTGTTTGGTACTAAGAAATGATCATTGCTTGGCTGGTTTTCCATATGGAGTTATTTATGGGTGGTTTGGGCTGTAGTGTTTAATTTATATGTTAGCATGTAAAAATGGCTTTTCTACAGCCTGTACCTTTTTCCCCTTATCAGGCTCTTGGTAGGCAACAATCCTAACACCCCAGCAAGTTGTTGTTGTTGTTTTTGAAGGGGGAGAAACAATGGAATTAGTATCTTGGGAATTATTGTACTGCAGTTTGGATTCCCAAATTCTTTTCATTTGAAAGTAGCCATATGTTGTGTGGAACTCTTAGTTCTACTCAATGGTTATCCAGTGTGGAAATGGCCTAAAGCAGCTTGAGCTCAGAGAAACTTGGGCTACTACTGAGAGTTTCATTCAGTGAAAGAACTTCACTGTCTCATTGTAAGTTTTCAGTTTTGAGCTCCTAGACCAGTGATGGCGAACCTGTGACACGTGTGTCAGAGGTGACACGCGAACTCATTTTTTTGGTTGATTTTTCTTTGTTAAATAGCATTTAAATATATAAAATAAATATCAAAAATATAAATCTTTGTTTTACTATGGTTGCAAATATCAAAAAATTTCTATATGTAACACGGCACCAGAGTTAAGTTAGGGTTTTTCAAAATGCTGACATGCCGAGCTCAAAAGGTTCGCCATCACTGTCCTAGACCATAAACCCCAGGTCTCTGATTTGCTTTAATATTGTACCCGGTCTAGTGCCATGCACAATTAAGCACTAAGTGGCTTTAAAGTAACTTTCAGATTTAATTTTTTCTCAGGATAATTTTGCCTTATAATGATTAAATAATTATTCTATTTAATTGTTGTATATTGTGTTATAAATAGGTAATTATCAATTACACTTAGTTTTACTACTTATTGGTAATTCTCATTGAGATTGTTAAAGAAAGCACTTTTTGGTTAAATAACACTAAGCTAAACTATACAACTGAGCTATAACACATAAGGAAGTTGAAAATACTAAGTCCAGGGCTTGTTTATTCTATAAAATACTCACCCTATAGAGATTTTCTTTTTTTAGGTATTAAAGGCAAAGAAGGTCGCCAAGCATCCAGAAATAGCGATTATTCTGTTCCAAAGTTTAAACATTTAAAGAAATTGCTATTGGGTCATGGACATCTATATTATGTGAGAATAGCACACCTTGTACAGTATTTCTTCTATAAGGTATGTGATCAAGTATTTGCAATTTAATTTAAGACTACTTAATCCAGCTCAATTTAGTCATAGTGTTTTTCCTCCTCTTTCCATGTTTCTTTTGCTGTCTTCATACTGAAGTTTGTAGACAGCAAAACATCTATTTATGGTATTGGAAACCAGAAATTTATTTTAATGCAAGAGATTTGAGATGAAATTTTAAGTCAAATTTCTTGGAGTATAGTTTAAATACAATAAAATGTACCTATTCATAGTGCAGTAAACCCTCAAGTTTGCGAACTTCAATTTAACCAACTTCTGATTTAACAGACAAAATTTCCAGTCTGTATGTCATATGTGAAAATTAACCCCCTTTTAATTTTAAAATGCTTTTAACCAAGAGTTGCTTATATTAAATTAACAGGATGTGGTGTTTTTTTGTTAGTTAACTTATTTTTAACAAATTTTAGCGAATAGGCCATGTGCTGGAAAAAAACACTGTAGTCATTTTGCTGTCATAAATATTACATATCTACAACTATAGTCTACATATTTAAATCTAAGAGTCATTGCTCGTAAACAATGTTTGATGAATGATTAACACATGATCCCACTGTATTGCAGGTGGTATTTCGTTATGGTGTGACTTTCTACAGCAGTTTTTTATTTTTTAATCCTCACCTGAGGATATTTTTTCCATTGTTTTTCATAGAAAGTGGGAGGGAGGGAGGGAAGGGGAGAGAGACAGAGACATTGTGGACTGCTTGCCTCCTGCAGATGCCCTGACCTGGGGGTGGGGAGTGAACCTGTAACCCAGGTATGTGCCCTTGACTGGAAATCGAACCCATTGCCCAGGACAATGCTCTCACCACTTACCACACCAGCCAGGGCTCAGGGCTCTGCAGCATTTTTAATGTGTGCCAGCAATGTTCTAAAGTGTGCTAATCCACGCCTCAGCTGTGTGCATTTTACTCGTGGTGACTGGTGAATGCATACATTTACTAACACTATTCAGTATAAATTTGAAATTACTGTAATATTTACAGAAAACGTTTCTGTGAAATTAAATTTTTCTTTTTTTAAAATTAATTCTTTATTGTTCACATTATTACAGTTGTTCCTCTTTTTTCCCCCCATAGCTCCCCTCCACATGGTTCCCACCCCACCCTCTACCCTTACCCCTCCACTGTCCTCATCCATAGGTGTACAATTTTTGTCCAGTCTCTTCCCGCACCCCCACACCCCTTTCCCCCCCAAAAATAGTCAGTCCACTCCCTTTCTATGCCCCTGATTCTATTAT